ATCTTCTATGGAAACAGGGTGCCACATTTTCTTTAGTTCTAGCATCAATATGTTGATTTAAAACAAAAATCAGAAATATATTGCTAAACCTGTTAGTTCCAATTTTGTCTGTAGTTCCTGTTATGTTAATGTAACAAATCATGTTCCACTGTTCCATCCATGTTAATGGATGCAGTCTTGTTACTAAGGTGAAGCATCTGTATTTTTAAGTGGTCTACATTACAGAAGGGCTGGTGGTGTAGTTAGTGTAGAACTAGAAGGAAAAGATAAGCATTCTATATAAAATTTAAAACAAGGTCCAACGGCATAGAGAAGAAATACGTAACTCACTAAATTATTTATTGTACTCTTAGCTGTTAAAAACAGGTTATCAGTATTTAGTTATTAATAATAAGCATGAATTCTGCATTTGAATAGCTTAAAGTTTGCAAGGAAACTGTAATTTATTAAAAAAAAGTTGCTGGCTGAAATAGGAATGTGAGGTCAGTTCTTGACTTCCTTGTGATGATGAGAGTATTCAGAGATATTTTGTTCCTTTCCATCTGCACTTTACAAACCAATTAGGTTTGTAATTTAGCTCCTTCTATAAAGTGACTCCTCACATGGCCAAAGCCTGGACTGTGAGCCTTCCTAGTTGAAGGACTAGACTGTCTTGGTTTTTTGTTTTGGGCATATCTAGGTTTGAATTTGCTTTATAACTACAATGTCTGATGTGGTGCTTCTGCCTCAGGGGTGTGAATTTCTTGCTGTTAGGCAGCTCTTCAAATTACTGAAAACTTGTACATGTGTTCTAGAGGGTAACAGATTTGGGTTAGTTATTGTGACGTAAAGATTTTGCTTAAGCAGACATTTTTTGCTTGAACCTTTACAACTTCTGAGAGGTGAAAACGTTTTAAGGTCATTGACTTCTGTCACAACTACAATAAATGCAAAATCTGTTGATAGGTTTTCAGAGGTGTGTTTCACAGTAAATTAAAGATAGATGCTGCAATTAGTCACTACTTAAAGCTATCTATGGCTTTTTACTACCTGGAGAACAGTTTGCCTCTTAAATTTGTGTTGTTTCTGACATTGAGCCATGTAACTGGAAGATATATTATTACTATTTTGGTATCAGCTGATACACTATAGTGGTCGTCTCTGGCATGTTGTAAGAAAATATCCTGCATAAAAACTGTAGCTGCATAAAACCTGTAGAAATTCTTAACAAAATAATGTCTCTGAAATGTGTCATTTATATCAACACAAAAGGGAGAGCCACTACATCTGAATAAAATGCCTTAAGCCGTATCTGTGAAGTGGTGTAAATAAAATCCGGAGTGTAATAAAGGTTTGGCTATTTAGATTAACGTGTTCAGGATGACATAATGCTCTCCTCCCATGGATTCACTTTTAATTTGCCTAGTTGTTCACAGGCTTATTATCCCATTGTTCAGCTTTGCAAATCTTTTTTCTTTTTCATCTCTTATGTTCAGAAGTAATCTTAAAGGACAGGCTCTTAAAACATACAGGGTTTGCTGTTAGTCTGTGGAGAATTGGTTGATTACGTGCTGCTAGTTTGCAGTTGCTAAAACACAAGACAGGTAGAAATTAATTATTTTCCCAATATTTCTTGCTAGTGTAATAAACTGTTTTTGAGAAGTGCCTTTTGCATCATTAACAAATGAGAGAAAGAAAATGGCCCATGTGATTGTATGTCAAAAGGAGTATTTCCTGATTCTGCTGTTTTCCTCAGAGGCTGTTTACTCTAAAAACTCTGAAAATCTTCTGTTGTAGAAAAGGGTATATTTTATGTTTATTATGGCAGACCTGTAAATTAAAACCAAGAATTCAGTAGATGGCACACAGGGCTTCTTGCTGGATTGTATCATTCCACCTTAGAACGTGGGTAATGCAGTACATGAAGTTAGCATGTTTGACTTGCATTCTGAATAAGCTGTAAGACAATCAGTTATGGTCAACAAGGTGGCCTTTTACTGTATGTAAAAAGTTGAGATTATAAAAAGTTAGCAGTGCTGGAATTCTCAGGAGTGTGTGTACTGGTGGCTGTTACACTCTGTAGGATGTATGAAGTTGTCTCCCTCTAGGATCCCACCGCTGCTCAGAGAGAGAGTGGGTTGGTTGTTAGTTCCCATCTTCATCTTCCTTTGAATTTTTCAAAGTCTTTTAGGCATCCTGTAGAGCTGACATTCACAAATCAGAAAGTTGATTGTGGGAAAGAATGAATCCAGTGTGCAAAACAGTTCCCTAAGGATGTGACAGACTTTTATAAGGGGATAGTTCCCTCTCCCCAGCATAAAACCTTCTCTGAGTATTTATGACAGCTGCCTGGCCCCTCCCCATTAATTTTTTCTTCTCCGACATGGGGTAGAGACCTCACTGAGAATGAACTCGAAGTGTTTCCTTTGGAAAAGTTGCCATCATCACAGGTGAGGGAGGGAAGGCTGGGGCTTTTCAATTGGAATTCTCAGGTTTGAGAGAAACAGAGCTTCCTTTTTCGTGTGCTTCTCCTTGTACCTTCTTGTTCTGCTCCTTCTGTAAAGAGGGCTTGTAGAATTAGAACAAGCTGTGTTGGAGTGCATTAATTCCCCTGAAACTT